CAGCCGAATAAAATAATGAATGCACAACTCTATCGGCTGACTTATATACATGAATGAGCAATGACTCCATAGCGGTCATTGTTCAAATGATTTTCCAGAAAGTTGTTCTAATTTTTTACTTTTTCTAGGAATTATATTGATTTTCTAATTGCTTTAAAAATCATTTTTGTAGAAACTCAAATTGAATTTCTATTATTTAGAAAAATCAAGCATTTTCTGAACATTTATAATTCGATGAATGAATAATGAAAGTTTGGAAATGCTTTAGCTTATTTAAAGTTGATTTTTTATATAAAATAGAATTTAAAAAACATTTACAGTGTACTTGTCCGTCATCTATCAAGAAAGAAATAAAAATGTCTAAACTAGTTGTGATGACTTAAGTCATTACAGTCATTTGGTCTGTCTTCTGCTCTGCTCATGAAAGGTGACAAAAGATCAGGCAGCCTCCACTATTATTTGAGTGAGAAAACAATAAGACAAACTAGTACGATCGCTTATTGTTTTCTCCCTTTCAGGGAGCCTAAGCATTTTACATACATTGAACGCTGAAAGCTATTGTCTGTAGTTCTGATTGTTGCAAGGCATTATTACATATCGCCATTATTTCTATTCATATTCACAACAGTGTTGAAACCGATAGGTTTTGTTCTTGCCCGCATTAGCACCAGTCTAAACTACACAGGATCGATCGATAGACAAACAAGTAGATGCCTAATTCGAGTTCGAATATAAATGGAAATTTCGAATGCACTCATGTTTTTCAAAACCTCCAAGGGAAAAGAACAACTTTGTATCAAAAGTAATTATAATTGATATAAGTAGCTCTCCCTTGTAAATTTAGAAAAGGAAAAGATTTTCCTTTTTCCTACGTAACAGGCAGTACCAGAGAGGCTTCTCAGAGAATGCGCACTACGATTCAGTACGGAACGACTCAATGCTATGACGCTATATTTAGAATTCTAGAGATAGCGTTCTAATGACTAACATAAGAACCAGTCGGCTAGATAAATCTAACTAGATGCGTGATATGACATCTTCAATCCAACAGCCATCATTTGTGATGCTTTGCCCAGAACCTGGGATATTAGAATCAATCACCGAAAAACGACAGTCGGTGGGGATGGGTTTGGATGTAGGAGTCAGTCATGCGGGCAAAGATTTCTGACGATAGTGGAGTAAATGATTCGTAGCTGCACATCTATGAAGGATCACAAATATTGAGTTTCATCCTCAATTATTGCGTATAATTGCTTCACAAGCTAAAGTTGAGGTCGTGATCCGGAATCCCTATCTCTTCTTCACTAAACTTGTCCGTACCGCCTATATACAGTGTCTTGCCATTCCCCATCGAAATTACTAATGACTGAACCTTCATCTATACGTTTCTCGCGCTTTTTAAATGAACTCATAAGTGAATCGTTTTGCTCGGTATGCTTGGTTGAACATCTCAGGTGTGCTGGATCGCACCTAAGAAAGTTACTATATAGCATCAGATTTAAAATCTCACGGGCCTCAACCGCCAGCTTTTGGATCGTACTTCTTGTCTATAGCATTCGAGGCTTTGTCTCCATCATTTGTTATGTGGCCTGTAGCATTCTACGTGAAGTCCTAGACGTTGGAGGTGGGTGTGGGTGTAGGTGTGGATCTTCTGTTTATCTGCACCCACACACAAGCTTTGGAGAATTTGAAAATGGCTTTTTGTAGTGCTATACCACTAGTAGTTTCTGAGAAATCTCGGCATTTTATCTCAAATTCTATAATAGACACTATTGAAGACACAAGACTCACCATTACTGAAAAACATGATAAATCATGAAAAATCCTATTTATCCTATATAACAAAAATTATGATTGGACATGTTAAACATCAAAGAGCACAATAATGAATAATTGTTGATGATTTGTGTTTATAGTCGTCTATCAGCAAATACAGTTTTGTTGATTGAAAATTTTATGAAAATAAAATATTCTATTTATAAAATTGAAGAAGAAGATGAAGAAATACCAATGCCGGTAACGCGGCTTAGGAGAAGAACAAACATAGTTGCCAGAAAATAGATTTAAGTAAAACACAATACAATAAAAAACAAACTAAAGTATCAAAAATAAAAACGAAAACAAGAAAGAACAAGAGACCACACAAATGACAAAACAAAAACAGAACATAGAGGGCTACACACATAGTACGGACAGCAGACGACACTGAACAAAAATATAATGAGCGATTGGAACTTGTTTGTCGGCTGGTTACCATATGCAGATGAATTACTGCGATTTCCATCAGTCTGTCACCTCCAAACCGCAAGCGGACGCAGTTTTAGTCACCGTCGTCATACTTCACAACAAATCATAGACATCTGGTACCTTGTTGTTGCCGGTATATTAAGTTGGTTGTTTTTCTGTACAACATCGACGCGTGTATCTGTGGCTACTTTGTTCAAACAAGTGTGTTGATGTATATTTAAGCCACGTTTGTTTTTACAGACCCGCCCACAATCGTACATGTGGCATCATTAGATACAGTTGAAGAAGGAATTGGGGATACTGTAGCTCTATTTTGATTAGATATCTGAAGTATTCCCTCTTCTGTCCGACGTTTGATTGCTTTTTCTGCATGTTCTTGCATGATGTGTGCGATGTTGGATTGCACCGTGGTGTGTTTAACATCGTGATTAATTGCTTTACGCCATTTGCCTTTGTTGTGTACCTCTCGTCTCCAATTTTTGACGTTAGATATATTGAGATTCTTTGAGACTTTATCTCGTCACCTTAATTTGACACCATGTTGTGGTCTCTTAGCTTCTTTGAATGAAGCAAAATGAGTCTTTTTCGGTAGCATAGGAAGGCCTTGATCGTTATCCATGATTAACATGACCGAACCACCGTAGTCTGTTTCTTCTCAAAATATTTTCCAGCGGTGGTTGACCAGTTAATTGAACAACAAGATTATTCCTCATTCGATCACCGATAGAAACACCAATTATTGTCCTCAAACACTTCATATCGAATGTGTTCAAGCGCTGCTCTTCAGTAGTTGTCAGACACCATAATTCGCTACCGTACACCAGTACGGGTAGCACACATGCTCTGAAAATTCTGATCTTTGCCTGAATCAATATGCATTTACGATACCAAACAATACGTCGAAGTTGATTGAATGCATTTGATGCTTTGCCTACACGAGTTTCGATCTCCTTTTGATGTGTTTGATCTCTCGATATCTGGCATCCAAGGTAGTTGAAATTATCTACCTTTTCTATTATCTGTTCACGTATGAAGATATTGAGCGAAACATCGCTAACCTCTTCTTTACCTTTAGTCTTGCGTGTTGTGTCTTTAAGTTGTCTCAAAGACATTATGCATACCTTTTTGTGTACTCAAAAAGTGAGTACACTCTAGAATCGGTCAGTGTGTCCGTCCGTTTACACGATAACTTTTGAAAGCAGAGTCCGATTACGATGAAATTTACTACACAGTTCAGTCTTAACAAGATCTCGGTCGAGTTCAAAGATGAGAATGATTGGCCGAGCCATTCCTGAGTTATTACAAAAATAGTCATTTTTCCCTATGTCTTCCTATGCGAAAATCGACCTATCCCCGATTTCGTAAACAACTTTTCCTATCACAGTCAACTAAAACCCCAATTATTATATATCATTCGATAGAGAATTTCACGAGATACAAAATGGTATATAAAACATAAAGGAACAAGAAGATTAACTCAACGATTACAAAGATAACTAAATGGAAATTGGTTCTGTTTTCGTCCACACTCTAATTGATCCACAATTAGACAGCAGTGTCACATATCCAAGATTTTAGAGATGCCACCACATCTCCTGCGGGAGATACCGCATCTCGCGCGAGAGATGCGAGTGTCGGTGTGGGGGATGCGTCTCTCTAAAGGAGATCTTACATCTCCAGTGGTGAATGACGTCATCTCCCGAGTGTGGGTGCCGCGTCTCCCGCTGGAGATGCGGTGGCATCTCCAAAATCTTGGATATGTGACACTACTCCTGTTTTCACATTGAAGATTTCGTAAAAATATTCTCTCCATCTATTTAAACGAACTTTGCCGTTGATTAAGGCGTTTTTTTTTCATCATAAATTGCTAAATGTTCCAAATTGACACCATTGCCATGCAAGCGTCGTATAGTTCAAAATGCACTTGCTGGATCCTGGTCTTTCACTGCTTTTTCTATGTCAACACTTAATTTCTCTCAAAATTCGCGGTGCCTAGCTTCTACCTTGTTCTCAACTAGTTTGACCAGTATTCGATATTTGTTTCAGTATTAATTCTCCTCTTCGTACCTCGATGGAGTTGCCATTGTACATAGGTCTTAACTTTCTTATCCACAATATCTTTCATGTATAGTGTAAACCATTCTTTGGTATTCTTTTTGCAGCCTTGGTCTTCTCCAAAATAGTGTTTACCATGCTTCCGCATGTAATCGGCAAATTTTGTAAACTTTTCATTTATAGCTAGCTTCAACTAGGCGTGGGAAGTTACCGTTACCCGGGAACGTAACTCTCTGGTAACGGTAACTTCCCACCCCTAGCTTCAACTCATCTTTTTTTGTATTTCCACAATGTTTTGTTAGCTCCGCCTGAAAAGGAGCTAAGACATTTTCGTCGCTCAATTTCACGTGATCTAAGTTTAACCTACCTGTCTTCGTCGTTTTTTGGCGACATTTTAAGTGTATGCGAATTTTTGCGCGTAAAAGATGATGATCTGTTCCGATGCCTCAAGTTGTGCCTCGACCAGCACGCATATCTTAAACACTAGTTTGGAATTTTCGATTAACGAGTACATAGTCTAGCATGTGCCATTGTTTAGTTTTTGGGTGCATCCATGTTGTCTGGTGCATCCGTTTATGTGGGAATAACGTATTAGTAACAAGGGATTTATTGAACAAGCAGAAATCTACCAGCTGACGACCATTTTGATTCAATTTATCAACTGCATGTTTAGCAACAGCATTGTGAACTGAATTGGCCTATTCTTGTCCAACGCGAGCGTTGAATTCTCCCATTATTAAAATAATATCGCCTTTATCAGTTTTATTGATTGAGGATTGAAGCGCTTGATAGAATTCGTCGCAATCGTCAATATCAGCTTTTAAGCCGTTTGGGGGATTAACAGGCGCATATATGATTATAACAGTACTAGGTATAGGCCAACCAACAATGCGAACTGTTGCGATCCTCGAGTTAACTGTTTCAAAGATGAAACCAGAATTTCTCCAAGCACGAGATGCTCTTGAACCTAGACATACGGTTGCCTCATGAGCCGCTCTTGAATGTTCTTGAGTCGACATTCTAGAGTATATGAATGTATATCCGTTAACTACGCACATACTAGAATCTGGTGTATTGGTCTCAGCTAATGCCGCGGCCTCAATTTGGTATTGTTGTAACTGTCAAACAATGAGTTCACGTTTAGTAACATGATAACACGATCTGATATTCCATGATCCAAAACGTATCATCTTAGTCGTACAGCGCTTGGCCCTAATAAGGACAGCTTTTCAAACGCCTTGAGAATTTCATTTTTTTTTCAAAAATTTTACATACGATGATATAATTTTTTCATATATTTGACTAGAGAAATGTCAGCTGAATCGAATGATGTGAAAATCATTTAATTATCTAAAAAAACAAATGAGTAATTAGCGGTAGTTTGAGAATGATTGAATTTGTCCTTATTAGGAGCTATGTTCCTAATAAGAACAACAAGCGAAAAAATGTTCCTAATAAGAACACCCAGCGCAGAACAAGCAAAATTTTAAAAAAATCAGTAAATGAACTTTTTCACTATCAAAAATTTAAAATTTTTGAATAGTTCAATGACAAAAAATGTTCCTTATTACTCAAGGAGTTTTAATCCAGAGGTTCAGATTTTTTCAAATCATTTTGACTGAGATATTCAATTTAGAAAAATCACTTGAGTGTTCGAATTAGGACCACTGTGCCTAATAAGGACAACCAGCGAAAAAATGTTCCTAATTCGAACACATAGTAGAAAATACATAGAAAAAAATAATTTTTTAGTAAATGAAACTTTTTCATGTTTCAACTTCGAAATTTCTTCTTTATTCCGCTACAAAAAATGTTTGTTGACCCATTCTCCGTTAATATCCAGCGGTTCATCTGAATCTGAAGTTGTTCAGAAAAAATAGATGTCATTGGTGAATCCAGCATTTTCCTGATGACCAAATCTCAGCTCACGAACATTGGATCAACGTGAAACTTATGGAAAATGATATCAGACCGATATTATCAGTGTTCATGAAAAAAAAATTCAATTTAAGTTTGTAAAAACAAAGTTGGTTTTTCCAAAATCAAGTCTTGAGGTTTTTGGTTTTTTGAGTAAAATTCAGTTTTTCTGTGAAGCATCCTCATCGACATCATATTTCATTGAAAGTTTTCAAATTTCAGCAGAAAATATACATCCCTTCACAATATAATATTTCAAATTTCATAGGAATATTTGTGCTATTTTACAATGAATGAACCCGGTGTATCTCCTGA